GAACCCCAGGAGACATGGACTCCAGTGTGTCATGATAAAGATGGTGAACATGAAGCCAGAGAGGCCGAGTGGCCTATGGAGTGACTGTCAGTGCAAGCTAAGCCAAGTTGCCTGCTCACAATGGCATGCTCCCACGGCCTGATTTTTCTCAAATTATTTGTCCTGTTATAGGTAGGTCCTCATGTCACCAGAGAGTTACCCTTCCAAACTCTCAGAAGCTCATTAGGTGCACAAGAGCCTGTGTCCACAGGAAATCCTGCCCTTATGGCTTAAAAAGCATAATAGTTAAACCATAAGATGGTGGGTTTGTGTCTCAACTCTGGCATACCCTAAGATGTGGTGATGATGGCTCTCTGTGTCTCTGTGAAATGAGAAAACTATTTCCTCATAGGGGTGAGTTTCAATGTTGTCAGTACACTTACAGCACTTTAGATGCTATGTGAGAAAAGTATGAAAACAATATCATTTTCTTCTGAAAGCCAAACTGTCCACTGGAGTGATGAGAGACATGCTCCAGGATCTTGCTCCATCACTGAACTCTTAAGGTAGGTCATAAATTATTTATATAAAATGGCACAGCATTTCCATACAATCTACACACACTCTCCCTACACCTTAAGTAATGTCTGTATTACTTACAGTGTACCATAAAATGTAAATACTGTGGGAATATTAGCTGTCATGTATGTGCATATTGTATGGTGAAAAAAGAAAAGAAAAAAGTTTATATTTGTTCAATACAGATGTGTTTTCCCTAGATACAATCAAAGCACAGGCAAATCTGCACACAACAGCTACGGCTGAGGTGATGAAAGTATTGAAGCTGACAGACACTTTCTTGTTACACCCATTTATGTGCATCTGAGACACCTTTAGAAGTCGGTTGGTGTGTGTTTATGACACATGTAACAGCCAGGCTGAAGATGAGCATCACAGTCACAAACAGCTGTCAAGCCTCCTTAGGGTAGGAGGCTCTAGGGAACCCTAGCAACTCATAAATTCCTTCAGGGGTCAAGTGGACTGTTACTTTAATTAATCTTTGCCTCTTTTCTCAGGAGCACAAACAATGGGGGGAGGTTGGAGGACTCAGATAATGGGAGGGTGTCCAAGTTTGCTTTCTGTTGCCGAGATAAGCACCATGATTAAAAGCAAACTGAGGGAGAAAGGGTTTATTTTGTTTCATCTTAGACTCTTCTAGGTCACAATCTATTGTTGAAGAAAATCAGATCAAGAGCTCAAGCAGGAACTGGAGGAAAAACCATGAAGGAGCAGTGTGTACTAGCTTTCTCCAAGGCTCCCTGTCAGCTACCGTTCTTATACAGTGGAGGCGGCTAATCTGCTTAAGAACAATGCTGCCCACAGTGGGGTGGGGTCTTCTTACATCAACTAGCAATCAACAAGATGCCCGGTAGACATGCTGACAGAACAATCTGATCAAGGCAATTTCCCAGCTGAGACCCTCTCAAATAACTCTGGTTTGTGCTGAGTTGACAGGTGAAGCTAACTAGGAGAGATGGTACTCCAAGCCATCTTGTAAAACTAACTCACATTCGCTCAGGCCTTCCCCTCCTTCGCTGGGAGGCACACTGGTGCTAGGACTTGTCTGCAGGGCAACTGTTATGTTCGGCATAAGTTGAGTGTCCATTGACTTACACCTTTCACATTTGTATCAGGTTTTTTAGATGGAGTGCTTAGCAGTTTTGTAGAGACTTTAGAAAACTCTAGAAGCCCACAAGAATGTTTCCAAGGCCTTATCATATCTGCCCCCATCATCATGATGGATTTTTTTTTTAGGGCCAGAATCATTGTTTTTAGATACTATAATGTACTCAAAGTAGCATGCATATGATGTTTGTCATGTAACATGGATTTGACAGCCAGTGTTGCAATGACTTTTGACAGGAGAGACCGCAGAACTAAGCATGAAATTGACTATGCTCTTTTCATCAAAACCATCATGGTTCAGTGTTACCCATGATCCCCTGTGGTTACACTTTGTTGTATTCATTTGCAATATCCTGGCCTTGCGTGCTTTACTTGAGATTCTCTGTGGAGAGTGCAGGCCATCCTAACAGAAGCCAGATCTCTTTGCTTAGTCTTGTTCTAAGTTTATGAAGTTATGACTCTAGGGCAGTGTTTACTTTCTATAATACAGGGATGGTTTGCTGTCCTAACTAGAAATGGGATCTTCATACAAGTATATAGCTCCAACAACTGGAACGAAACCAAACAAAAAAACAAGACCTAGCTTCTTTGCTTTACACTATGCAGTAAGTCCCTTTGCTTTCCTACAGCTAGTCAGTCTCCTGGGTGTGTCCTTGATGCTTGGGTTCTTCAGTGGCCATCCCTATAGTTTAAGTTATGATTACTGGTGCCGGACATGCAAGACAAATACTTCCAGCTCCAGGAAAAATAGCTTTGACTAGAGGAGGCAAGACAGACAAATTAGCCATTTCTTGGGTCCTCCGTGGGAAACCTGGGGAGAAAAATGGCCGTTCTAGGCAGGTAACTGTCATCCTAACACAGATATGACACCTCGATTCTCACACCAACTGAATGCCTGAATAATTATATTTTAAGCAACACAGAACATAAAACAAATTCACCTAGCATCCAGGTATTCAATTGTATTCAGGCTTGCCCAAACTGGCCTTTCTTGTTGCAGGGTGTGGGAGAACACAGGGCTTCGTGGGTCCCCGGGGGCCTGCCAGGCCCTGAGCTCAGCTGTGGGAGGCATGCCAGTTCTCAGGTCTGCTAATGAGTGGTGTGGTGCCTGTGAGAGAGTGTGACTAACCATCAGTCTTTTCAATAATGCTGACAATTCATTCTCCTTTCTCTCCTTCATCCGCTTCCTTTGCTGGAGCTGGCTGAAATAGGAGAAAATTAGTCTCGTTCTGGAAAAGGCAGGGCATGCACAAAGGACCCCCTGAAAAATTTCTAGTGCTCTGTGCCTGCATGTTTTGCAGTCAGTGTGATTATCTGACTTGAATGAGTGCAGGATATAGTTTTTGTTGTTTCCCGTATTCCATACTGGGCATCTGAAGACATCGCTGTGTCTACAACCACTGGGCTGTTCAACATGTTTGCATTTGACACCAGGAAAAGCAGTGGCATTATTATCCTGTGAGCGGCTCCAGCTCTGGAATTGAGGACCTGTCCGTTTCCTGTTCAAAGGCTTTGCTTCATCAGATATGTTGTTTCTGGCTCCTCAGAGAAATGTGGCAGACCTTAAATGCCCTGAGCTTCCTAGTTGGGCTGAAAGGTCAAGAGGGAATAAGGGTTTTTTCAGGTTAACTTTTTCTGCTTGCTACTTACATGTAGTCTGCTGTGCTCACGGTAACACCACAGCAAACTGCATGCTCTGTCCCAGGGGTGGTGTGGACCAATATGCTGCATGTCTCAGGGAAGTTAGTGCTACCATCTATTGGCTGTTGGGTAGCAGGTTGTTGGGTAGCAGGCTGTTGGGTAGCAGACTTCTGGGTAGTGGGCTGTTGGGTAGCAGGCTGTTGGGTAGCAGACTTCTGGGTAGTGGGCTTTTGGGTAGCAGGTTGCTGGGTAGTGGGATGTTGGGTAGCAGGTTGCTGGGTAATGGGCTGTTGGGTAGCAGGTTGCTGAGTAGCAGGCTGTTGGGTAGCAGACTTCTGGGTAGTGGGCTGTTGGGTAGCAGGTTGCTGGGTAGTGGGATGTTGGGTAGCAGGTTGCTGGGTAGTGGGATGTTGGGTAGCAGGTTGCTGGGTAGTGAGATGTTGGGTAGCAGGTTGCTGGGTAGTGTGCTATGGGGTAGCGGGTGTTGGATAGCAGATTGTTGCGTAGTGGATTGGAAAGCTTTCCCTGCTGTTGGGTCAGAACATTTAGAAGGGAGTAATAATTCCCTAATAATGTGTGCCTTCATCATGAACCGGATCTCTGGGAATGACTCAAGTATAATTTCCTAATAATCTAGCCAAACACTTACATAGGGAGAGACATGAGCAAGTGAAAGCAAAGGAAAAATGCATTGAGATTTAGAAAACACCGAGGCAGTTTATAACATTCTTGGTTCTTTAAAATAAATACCATGTAGCTCAGCCTGCTTCTCTCCCTTTAATATGAGAATGCCTGCTTCATCTTTGAGTCTAGGACTTTGGGGACTACTATTAATATCTGAGGCAATCTAAAGTGGCAATTAAATTAGAAGTATCAAGCTGTATTTTCTAAATTAAAAATTGGGACATGTGTTCCAACAGGCACCAGAATATTTTCAGGAATGATAAGTAAAAGTATTTAAAATTAGATTTTTCTTTGAGTATTTTGACTCTGGGAGTCCCTTTCATTTTCTGAGTTCTTGTGTTGCCTGGTTGCCCAAGGTTAGATTATGTGTTACACTAGACTGTGTTTAAAAAACCAGGAATTTTTATATAAAGATCTACAACTTCTCTTTGAAATCTGTAAGGTCTCTACCAGTCTGGCACCATGCTGGGATCATGGGCCCTGGGGCAGAAGAGAGCCAGAGATGAGCACCAGATTATTATCATGGGGCATGGTCAGGGAGCTAGCTTGAGATGTCCACCAGTCCGGCACAGCATGGTGGGGGTGGGGGGTAGGGGGCAGGGGAGGGTTACAAAACATGCCCACGATCACCCCTGCCAGGCGCTATCATGCAGGGAGCCTTGGTGCCGCTAAAAGGAGCAAGCAAATGGCTGAGATATAGAAACAGAAAGATGTAAGCACAGTGAAGAAAGGAAGAACTGGAAACTCAAGTGTAGTGAGCAATAGTCAGATATGAGAAGCTGGTGATGCCTCCTGGGACCATGGTGGGGACTTAGCTTGTACTGCCATTAGGGGCCATACCTGGGTCCATGACCCTATAGTAGCAGGAGTCTGTTACCATCAAAGGCCAGGCAGATACCCCTGGTCTGTGCTGCCACCAGGGGACATGTTGATGTCTGAAGACCGTGCAGAACTGACCTCGCCCCTCACCTGGGCATCGTGGGAGAGCTGGCCCTGAAGGCACGAGAGCAGAAGAACTGAATCTGCCCCTAGCCAGCTGCAAGACTCGAGAGGGCATGCCTGCACGTTTCGGAAGATGTGGGTGAGTGTGGGAGAGCTGGCCTACCACATGGTGATGTGGGGGAGGAAAAGATACCCTCCTTTACCCTCCCCTTCACCACCTGCAGCAGGTGAGAGAGCAGGCCTTGCACCTCACCTGGGCAGCACAGTAGAACTAACCCTGGTGGTAAGGGTGTGGGTGAGCCAGGACCCTAGGGTGAGCTGTGAGCTAACCAGCTCAGATACCTCTCAGGCCAGATCTAGGACCTTCAATCGGCCCACCTCAACATCTACCCTATCAATGAGCTGTTGGAGTGCATGAGGGGGCCAGACCTACAGAAACAAAATACATCTCCAAAGATTTTCAAGACACTGGGCAACAATGGGATATCCGAGAGGAGTCTCAGTGAAGCACTAGTATTGCTAGTGTAGCAGAAGCCTTGTAACAGACCAACAAGTCATTGCAGTGAACATTTGCAAGCAAAGAAGTGTGGACAAAGGGTATATTGTGGAACACACTGTGACACATGGCAGCTTCCACAATGAGATACTCTTTTTTTTTGTTTGTCTGTTGAAAGGGAGGTTCCAAGGGTGGAGGGCAGGTCTGAGAGAACGTGGAGATGAGTGTGATTAGTGTGCATGTTTGAAATTTACAAAGAACCAAAGTAAGTTAAAAACCAAAACCAAGAATTGTGAGGTCTAGAAATGCCCTGTAGAGGAGCTTACATACTGCCGGGACTGGACAACGGCCGCTTTCTCACGATCCTGGGCTGTGCCCCTCCGTTATTTTCCATCTTCCATGTTTTGCCTCCCTCATCAGTATGGGTATCTGTCCAGCCTCTCTAACCATCGGACTTTATTCTTGTTCCAGTCACAGAATCCACAAGGCCCTTTGAGGCTCATCATTAGAACAGGGGGTAGACACTTGACTCGTGCCACATCAGGTCCTATCTCAGTGCAAGGTTGATCACAGTGTGGCAATCTATACCTGAGGTGTTGGAGCCCCAATGACTTTGCTTCTTTGACTACAGAAAATCAAAGGAGTAATCATGAAAATGTGATTTAGGACAGTCTCTGCCAATTGAGACACAGTGGCCTAACAGTCACCACCACTGTTCTGTGCTTGTCTCTTTGAAAGCTGGTTCATAACTTTAAGGACTGAGACTTGAATGCAGAAATGTGTTTGGCTTTCAAGTAATGCTGTGATTGGTTATAACCTATTGGATAAGTTACTAAGCCTTACAATGTTTTGGAATATTGAGCTGGGGTTCAGTAGGTTTTTGCCAAGTACCTACTCTAGGTCAAACTGTGTAAAATCATACATTTCTAGTAAAGCAGAAGATTCATATGTTTTAATCAGAAGCATCCCTAGTACCGTGATAGGCATTAGTTAAGCAAGTAAACAATGGGTTATGGGTACCATGGCAGGTATGTGGGGGCTCCAGAAGAACAGGGAACCAGTCCCTCCATGAGGGTAAGCTGGTGCAAGTCAATTCTTGAGTGAATGAATTTGTGAGGTCTGTCTGGAGAGATCGAGCAGTCAGGGATGTGCTTGCTGCACAACATGAATATCTGAATGTGATCCCCAACATCCACATAAAGAGCCAGACATGGAGATGTGTACTTGTAATCCCAGCAGAGAGGAGGCAAAGACAAACAGGTTCCTGGGCTTGTTGGCCAGGCAGCCTAGCCTACCTAATGAGCCCCAGTGAGCACCTGTCTCAATAAGCAAGTTGTATAGCTTGCAAGGACCCACACATGAGGTTGTCCTTTGGCACCCACACAAATTATCCCCCATGCATAAGTGAACCTGCACATACCTGTGCTGGAATGCACACTTGTATGTAAGCACACATGTACATGAATCCAGGAAAGAAAACCTAACAATATTGAAGCATCCTTGAAGGTGGGGAGGGCTTTAGAGGTATGAGTGGGAACTAGGGTCAGTATTCAACCCAAGGACAGAATGAACAGAAAACCAGGCTGCAGGTCTTACAGCATCTTCAGTAGTTTGAGCATGGGCCAAAATGGGTCCTTCGGCATATGAGGCTAGGCCGATAGCCTGGTCCACCCAGACAATATCAGTATCTTCTCCTTGTTGTATCAGGAAAAAAGCCATTTGTGGGCATGCCACTGTGAAAAGACCATCTCTTTTCAGCATGGGGCAGGAGAGCTGAGTTGCAGATGGGACCACCTACAAATATTGTTGGTTTGACCTGGACAAGAACTCAGAGACAGGTAAGTAAATGCCACATATCTGTTATATCAGTTCATGTTCTTTCAGGGATCTCCAGACTATTCAGTCTCATTAGAGAGCTTTTGCGATGAATACAGTCATCCCAGGCTACTATAAAGTCATTAAATGCAGTAGATAATGCAATCTTCTTTTTACTAGTAACATTAATTATTAGTCGTATTAATCAATATAAATGGATGGCTACTATTATAGTACTCTGTCAAGGAGTATATATTCACCTCATGCTGTTCTCAGAAAACCTTATGGGGGAAGGTACCATCACAGCCCCCGTGGATCAGAAAAAACCAACCAAACAAACAAACTGAAGCATAGAGAGAGACATTCTTTTTCCAAAGTTGTACAGCAGGTAAGAGTTGGAAGCAGGACCCACTTCAGAGCAGTTAAGTGGAGTATCGCTATCATCTTGAAACAGCAGCCACAAGAGCAAGGACTCTTCACCCTTCACACCGAGTCCTTCAACAAACCTGTAGCTGTATGAGCTCAGCTTGACATGACTGCAGTAACTGTGTACCAACCACAGTTGTCCAGAACAACCCTTGCTAGTTTTCCCTCAGTAAACTCTCAAAGCCATTGGAGTGGTGTATGCACCTTTTCAACAGAGTAGAAGCTCTGGGGATGTGACTAATGTGATTAATTCTGTTATCAGATGAAGGCAGTTGGCTCCTCTTTCTGAGCCTCGGGTCCTTGGTGTTGCCAGAGACCAAACCTCCACCGGGAAGTGCCCAGTATATTGCACTGTGTGTTATTCTAGATCCGGCTGCTTCTTTCTTTGATGCTATATCACCTTCGGGCTGCTGTTCAACTGAGATGGATTAATAGACAACCTGGTTTTGGTCCCTCATATGCAGTTTTCAGGGGCTGATCTAGGTGACCTGGCATGTAAGTGACCAGAAACACAGCAACATCTGGATCCATGTGAGTGCTCATTTCATCTGAATTCTTTGAAATAGACTTCCTTCATTCTGGATCTTGACTTCAAGGGTGCAAGGAAAAAGTACCAGCATAGATGGTGTGATGGTTTGAAAATGCTTGGTCAAAGGAGTGGCACTATTAGAAGGTGTGGCCCTGTTGGAGTAGGTGTGTCACTGTGGGTGTGGGCTATAAAACTAGCTGCCTGGAAGTCAGTATTCTGCTAGCAGCCTTCAGATGAAGATGTAGAACTCTCAGCTTTGTCTGAATCATGCCTGCCTGGGACACTGCCATGCTCCCACCTTGATGATAATGGACTGAACCTCTGAACCCGTAAGCCAGCCCCAATTAAATGTTGTCCTTTATAAGACTTGCCTTGGTCATGGCATCTGTTCACAGCAGTAAAACCCTAAGAGAGATGGTTTCTCAAGCAAGTTTCCTATCAACAAAATGGAACTAGGAAGCTACAGTGACCTAAATTGCAGGAATGTTACACAAAGGGCCCTGATGCCATTTGTACAACGTTTGACTTTCCGTGGAAGAACAGAAATAGTAGTCATTCGGTGGCAGAAGCTCAGAAAACATCAAGGTGGCTGGGGGCCGGGGAGGAAATTTAGACCTCTTGAAACCCTTTGGCAGTGAAGTTGGTTTCCCCACATGTTCTCAGGTCTCTTTATGAAGCAAGCCCCTGGTGCTGTCCTGTCCCAAAAGATCCCAGAGCCATTTGTGCAAAGTCACCTCCCCCAAACCTTGCAGAACACTGGCAAGCCAGCCCGGGAGTGTGACCCCAGTAGCTCTGAGATGAAGAGAGCAAACTTCACAGGAGTGAGGACACCGTGGGAAGAACCCCTTCAGGCTCAGCTCAGCCCTTTGCAGTACTCGCCTCTGTAGGAACATTCCCCTCCCTCTCTGACAGATTAACAGATGATACAAAGGAGACATTATCAGGAAAATGTCAAAAGAAAAGGCATAAAGAGCAAAGAAGTGAAGACGTATTTTTAAAGAGCCTTCTTGTTAATCCTTGTAGGTAAGAGATGTTGGCCTTAGCAGAGGGATGGGGGAGGCTCCATAGTGCCTCACAGCCCGCCATATTAATTAGGTACAAAACAACTGCAGAGACAGTGGAAGCCCTAACTTTCAGTGATGTAGCACAAAATTTGTTTCTCCCCCCAATGATCAGTCTCAGACCTGTCCAGCACTCCACAGAGCATCAGAGAACCATGCTCAATCTCTGTTGTGCTTTCTCCACCTCCTGCCTTCTTCGTTCCTCCATCTGTGAGCTTGGAGGACCACAGCAAAGTTCCCATGTGGCCAGGCCTCTGCAGCACACATCATAGCTACCTGCATCCCTCTACAAAGGAGTAATCAGAGTAGACCCCTCCTTACGACTTCTCAGTCACAACTCCCCAGCTTGGAGGCAGGGTGGGGGGTGCTACAACTCTGTAGGATGTTCCTATCTTGGGTACATTTGTACTGATTACAAAACACTGAAAATCCTTCAGAAACGTTCTTTTTCCAAATCACTCTTTCTCAAACTTCTGACATACTGTGCAATTTATGGTGAGGTCCAGGCTTAGTCAGCTATCACAGGACCGAGAAGCCAAGCTGTGGTATCATCACTGGGAGATAAAGGTATGCGGTATCAATGCCATTCTTTATCTGCCATAATTTTGAAACATTTTCTATTGAATCCTGTGTCTGTGGGAATACTATTGTATTAACTATCATTGGAATTAGCATTATTATGGAAAACTGAATTTCGTCTGTATCCTTTACAATGGGTAAGCCATTCTCTTCCATTTATGTGTATTATAGGAACACTGCCAAGATAGCTACATCCACACCTATGTTTTAAGAAGCTTGATGTTTAGAAAGAATTTGTTAGAAAATCTTTTAATGATTTCTTTTTTAACTTAAGGCATTATCTCAGTAGCTTTGCAGTTAAGCTGGAGATGGAGGTGCCAGGTGTTGGGAAGAGGGAACAACTTGTCAGTTCCTGAGGAACTCTCTCTCTCATAGACAGCAGGCAGTAGAGGATCCGTGGCTCTCTGTCTCTAAAGGGGGAAATCAACCTTTCTCTGTCTCACCCTTCCTGCACAGTATCAAGGATGAGTGTGTATTAAGACTCCTGTGAGTGGACAAGAAAAGAAAATGGCAACCAGAGTCCAGTTACAAACCCCTGTCTTGAAATTCAGTCAAGCCATGTATTAATAGATGTTCATTGTGTGTGTGCCTTGTGGCTATGTATGTCTTGTGCATTTTCTGTCTTATTCCTGCCAACTTAGTTTTATTCACACTCTGACTCATTTCATGTAGAATAATGTTTCTTTCATTACTTCTATAACCTTACAGATGCTCCCAAAGGACACACACACACACACACACACCATTGGTGCTTTAAAAAGTAGTCTTTGACTTTAAGTCTTCTTGATATATTTCACTAAAGAATACGAGGTAGAGGTGCAAAAAAAAAGCTATAATGAGGTAAATGGTGAGGGTGCCAGTGTTGCGGGCAGAGAGTTGGGGTGAGGGAGGGTTCTGGAAGTTCCATGATGTATTTTGGCTCACATCGTGCTTGCCAGAATCTCTTCACAGGTTTGTAATCAGCTATGAAGGACTCTGGGAAACAAGAGCTGTGACTGGCTCAGTGCTTGGGGAAACTGATCTTTTTGTAAGGAAAGGGATTTTGAGGACCTCAGGCAGGCAACTCATAGTCTCTTGCAAAGCACAGTGATATGTCTGGGGTTATTCTTGGGAATGGAGTTCTAAAGCAAAATAAAAATTATGAAATGGAAAAATAATGATGAATTCTGTCTCCTGCAATCTGAGCTGAGTTATGGATATTCTGACTGCTAGGCTGCCTACCATGTGCTATGGTGGTGCTGCATCCGCAAGCAGAATGCACAGTGCAGGCAGAACCCAAGGCCAGTCCTCTGTTTACTGAACATGAGAGTTTCCCCATGGCATGCCACACACATGGAAACAGGGCATCTGGAGACACTCCAGTCATAAGCATGGACAGTCATCTTGGTTCTTGGAGGGGCACTGGGAACCTCACACCAAGGGCAAGAACCACCAACTTTGGTACTTCTGCCTTTTAAACTCAGAAGATTCCTCTGTGTGTCTGGGTGATGAGGTGAATTGAACTTAACCACAGGGCTATTTCTCAAAATAGGGCAACTGGGTTCTCACTGTGCATGGAAAACTGCAATAATACAATCAGTTATTTGTTTCTGTGTGCTCTGCTTCTATGGATTCCACCAACTCCAAGTGGGAAATATTCCCGGATATATTGCATCTGTGTTGAATCTGTGTAGGCTGTCCCCCATCCTTCAACCCTAAGCAATGTGATATCTATAAAGCATCTCTATTGTTTAAGATATGAGGATGTGTCTAGAGATGGTTTAGTATCTAGGAGGGTATGCAGAGGCACAGACTAAACACAAGCACGATGCTACTTTTTTTTAATGTAGAATTTTTAATCAAAAATTAAAATATCACGAGAAATTTTCTTTTTTTTTTTTTTCAGACTGTATTTCTCAATGCAAGCTCGTGGAGAGACCGATCGAGGGAAGCTGCTGCTGCTGTATCAGACAAATGATCAGCTTATAAATGGCCTTTTTCCTCTAAACAAGGATCTGGCACTAGAAGTGGCAGCGCTTTTAGCTCAGGTAACTTCCCTGTTGTCTAAAACGATGCTACTTTCTACTAAAAAACTTGTGTCTCTTCAGAGCTTGGTATCAGAGGGCTGCAGGAGCTCTCCTCCTGCAGATGCCAAAAGACACCTATGCGTTGATTGATGCATATACCTTAACACACAGGCTAGTGCAAGAAAGCTGTGGCACTTTGCCCACTCCTCTTTTCTCCTTGCTCTTAACTATTTTTGTCCAAAAAGTGTTCGTTGCCTAAGTAGAATTAGGTCAGACCGAAGCTGAATATCAAGCTGACAGAGGGGGAGCTAAGCTAGTGCCAGCATCGGCTAAATGAGAAGTTAAAAAGAAAGTCTCGCTCTGAATCCAAATATGGGAATTTAGAAGGGAAAGGGCTAATATTAGACTGCACAAGAATTAGAACAAAAAGGTATGTTCACTGCCAGGAATCAGGAGTTTTGATCTACCTCCGTATTTTACTGTACAAGAGCCATACTCTTGTGGGCGTTTAAAGACTCAAAACATTAACTATTCAGATAAAAAGTATTATCCTCTTAATACGGAAGGTCTTGAAAAACCACACACATCATTTCTCTTCAAAGAGATGACATGCCACCCGCTACCATTGCAGGGACATTTCTTAAGGGTCTTTTAAAGAGTCCGCTGCTCTGCAGTCAAGGGGACAGCTTCGAACAGCCTCGCTCTCATATAAAAATAACAATCTCATTAATGATGCTAAGTTTATATTGTAAATACATTATCACCCCTCTCACACCAACTGCTATGTTAAAAAATAATTACTAATTGGTTTCAGCAAATGCATTATAAAAAGGTGGCTAATTTTAACTATTTTCTTCTCTCTGTTTTAGAACAACAACAACGACCAAAAAAAAAAAAAAAAAAAAAATGGAATGATTCAGAGAAAGCAATCTGTTACCTGGAAGAATTTAAGGGTTTTAAAAAATGATCTTTGATCAAAGTTTTATAGAATCTTATGCAAATGGTGATTCAGGTAACAAGCAGACTGGGCTGAAACCCGCAGCCTGCATCTTTCTCCCCAAATGTAGTGATAAAGAATAGACCTATTTTACTTTCCTAAGTTCTGCTCCTACATCTTCTGAGAGACCTTCTAAAATGCTGCCTGACCCTCCATCACACTCTGAAGTATCTTTCTAGACTTTCCCGCCTTTCCCCCCCTCCAATACCTGTTGTCAGCGAAGTGCCTGGCCTCTTACACCTGCCTGCATGCTGCCATGCTCTGCTCCATGATGAGAATGGACCAAGTCTCTGAAACTGTAAGCCAGCCTCAATTAAATGCTTCCTTTCATAAGAGTTGCCTTGGTTATGGTGTCTCTTCACAGCAATAGAACAATGTCTGAGACACCTCCTATCATTACTATTGGTTTTTGTGGTGTGCCTTACAGTGCCATCATGAAATGTGGGTTTAAGGATTTGTTGGAGAGAAAAAGACAAAAACAAGGTTCATCATCTAGGTAGTTCATTTCTTTATTGAGTTCAGATCAGAGCTCTGAAAATAGTGAGGAACTAAAATGACCACAGTCTACCTTACACAGTGTAAAGCCTAAAGGGGAAGAGTACGAACTCTTGGGGCTAGAGAGTTTTGGATTCTGGTTTGTGGTTGTTCAAACTGCATGGCCATAGACAACTGCCTATATAGGATTTTCAGCCCAAACACTAGACTGATGGTTTCTTTGGGGGTTGTTCTAAAGACCTGAGACAATATATAGACAGATCTAGTACAATCAGAACACAGAGGTGGTAATAACTGATGCTATAATTAATCACCACTGACTTCACCAAATTCTGTCTGATCCCCTTGCCACAAACCAGTATTACTAAATATGTCTGGCAGAGACTGTTCTGCTGCCTCTGTGATTTCTCTTCCTACAACATGAAACCGTTACACATGTTTAGGTGTTTGTGCTTTTCAACACTCGGATCTTCAATGTTGTGAACATGACTCAATGCAGAGTCCACATGTTTGCACTAATTGCGGGATTTGGAAAAATAACAACCATGTGTATCATATGGTGACATTTGCCATCTTCTTTGTAAGGCAGATGTTCAAAATTAGAGTTATATTATTTCTGTGATTGTTACTAACAGCTCCAGCACAAAGCATGGTTACGAAATCAGGACTGTTACTTTAAAAGAATACCATCTACAAACAAACCTGGGACAGCACAAATAACAAACATAAAACACTTCCAAATTCCTTTGGTTTGTGACTACAATTTTTTTTTCCAATAACTACTACAAATGCAAACTCTTTGTAATTACATTTTTATCGGTCTTCCTTGGTTCTTCTGCATGTGTAGCCCTGAGACTCCAGTCTGTGGCATGCAGTGAGAAACCATGTTTACAGTCAGGCTCTGCAACCCCATGTCAGGCACACCTCCCTTTTCTTTCTCTGTCTCTTCCCACAGGCACCATGGACTAAATTGATCCATGTGCTTTGTATTACACATCACCTGTCAACTTCTTTTAACTTGGTTTATGTGTTTGAAATTTTTTATAATAAAGTACTGAAAATTAATATAGGCACTAGTAACTAAGTACTGCAATCCTCACGGTACTAATTATTATATGTATAGATTTATTTCTACGTGTCTGATATCAAAAAATGAATCTTGAGATGATGATAACCGTGCTGACAGCAATGACAATGGCATTCTGAGACCCTCTCAGGCTCTGGATATGGCTTCTCATATTATTCACTGGATGATCACCTTCTCTCATCTTCGTTATGTTTTTCTCCCCACACGAGGGAGAGCTGTGCAGCAGAGGAACCTTGAGAAGGAACTGCACATGCTCAGTTCGTTACTCTTGGCTCTGCTTTCAGCTTGAGCTTCCTGCAAGGCAGATGCTTGCTGCCAGTGATAAACAGCCTGCTTGCTCGCTGAGAAAACTGTGATGGGCTGGTGATGTCTGCAGAAGAACACATTGTGTCCTGGGATAAACATCAGCAAGGTTGCAGTGCTGGGGATCTTTTTTTCTTATCGCCTTTACTAATAATAACGATATTATTTGTAGCTTCCATTGCCTTGCTTATATGTCTAAAATTTGTTACCAACTTGGAATTCATTTATCCTGTGGAGTATTCTATGGACTTGTAGAGAAAGAGTAGTTTTACTTCCTCATCTGTAAGACTTGGGAAGTATAGTATTAACTGAATTAAGATGCATAAAGTGTTTAGAACTTTGCCTGGCAAATAATAAGTGCTAAATCAACATCATATTTTTAAAACTTAAATTTTAGGTGCAATTCAGAACTGAGCTAAAAGCTTTATATCGTATTATGTGGTATAACGGTTGGGAGACATCTGAAATAGAAACTGTAATTGATGTCACTTGTCCTAACTGAAATTTGGGGAAGTCCCACACTTTATAAGGATAGCTTCATGCTACAATGCATAGTTCTCTGTTGTACATATTAATTATTGGCAATAAACAAGGAAAGGGAGTTAAATTTCATGCTAAATTTGTCACTTTTACTAGAGAAGCAAATTGAGAGTGCAAGTCTTCCTATCACCTACTGAGAGCAAAGCCTGAGAAAATAACAAATTTGTTTTGATGTGTAAAAGACTCCATTTAACAAACATCAAAGTCAAAGTATGCATATGCCATCAGTTGGGTCTTGAGTATTCTTCAAAGCACAGTGGACTAAAGGATTGAGTTTCCAAGAGGTGCTATTAGGAGGTAGTAGATACTTGAAGAGGTAAAGCCATGATGTATTGTCCAAACCAGCAGGGTAACTGATCATGAAGTGGAACTTATAAAACTGAGTCACCGAGGCTGGAGACACGGCTTGGTGGCTAAGAGCACTCATTGATTTGCAGAGGACCTGAGTTCAGGTCCTAGCACCCACATGGCAGCTCACTACCATCTATAACTCCAGTCCTCGAAGATCCCACACTTTCTTCTGGACTCCTCGGGCACTGCATGCAACTGGTATACATACATGCACTCAGGCACACATAAAATAAAAGTAAATAAATCTGGGGGAAAGACTCTGCAAATCACAATGAATCTTTTCTCTTTATCAGCTGGTTATTTAGATATTGCATTACAGTGATGAGAAGCTGAGCACACAGTATTCATGAAACTCCAAGTGGGTCTTGGAGTATTTGCCAAAATCTGTGTCCAATACAGGTTTCTTGGTCTTTTATCTTTCTCATGGAAGAGTATTCCTGGTCATTGATACCCAGATGAGCTAGAGGACTTCATGACTATCAGTGGTACCCAGTCACCTGCCTTTCTCTTCTCCTCTCAGTGACCCCCTGTGGAGAGCATGTAAACAAGAATTAGCATCAGGACCCAGTAGGATGCTACAGCAATGACCCGTCAGCTGTGTGTAGTAGTTAAGAGTTGGCTGTTACACTGATGAGCTTGGTATCTGGACTCCGTCTCTCTTTCCTGGCCTTAAGCTGCACACAACTTGAGACATCCCCACTAATCAATTTCATCTTTTGTTTAAGCATCAACAACCTAGCAATTGAGTTTCACCACACAAGCTTTCTCCAACGCTTCTAGAAAAGGCTGTGGAGAGTTCACTTTCAGAAAGAACGATACCTGAAGCAAACCTTGGACCCGAGTTTCGTGGAGAAAACATGATGCTGCAGACAGGATCATAGAACTCTTGAGCAGATTTGGATCTTGCTGACATCCACAGATGTTTGGAAAGGCGTGGATTTTACATCCTGAATATGAGCCAGGAACTAGAGCAATGGATATGCTTAGTGAATAAATGAACGTGATGATAGAACCCCAAGGCTGCACGCCTTTAGAGGCAGGTGATGAGCTAAGCTTCAAAACACTTCAGAAATCAAGCCAAGCTGTCCAAATATCTGGGGCTAGTATGTTAGCCAGTAGTATTCAGAACAAGTGAACAAAACTGAAAACACTTATAAATTTTTCTAGGAACATACGACATTTATGTGAAATGTAGTTTTTCATGCTGGATTTGATTGGTTTTAATGATGGGTGTCTTAGAGCAAGTACAAATCTATTCTCAAGGATCTCGGTTCCCCAATCCACAATTAGGACTAAATAAAACGCTTTGGCAAGATTCTTTTTATAAGGCTTAGCTTCGCTTTGACTCTCCTAGGTTTGGCAGTGGTAAACCCACAAATATCTGAGCTGGAATTGCCTTATGACTTACCCACCTCCCCCAGGAATAAATAAATAAAGCACTTTGCAAAAGGACCATTAGCTCTTTTGAATCAAGCTCCCCTGTATCACAGAGTACCCAGGTGGCTTTTAAGTGTTGATGCAACATCCTTAAAACAGTTTCCCATTTCCAAGGATTAACTAAGGCACTTGGAAGGTAGGCTCATCATTTTGATGTTTGATTTATCTCTTTCATAAGGCATGTTCAGCCAGACCACCAACGATTCCCATTTTATAAGACTGTCCCCTCCTAACAACAACAACAACAAAAGAAAACTTATTTTAACATCCTTGAAATGAACATAATAAAGTAGTTTAAATGGCTAACTTGAATTATCATTAAGCAATGAAAAATACATATTGATTGCATGAGAAGTAAAAGTTCTGCTTTCTATAGCCTTGTGTTTTATACCTATAAAGGCCATGATTTTGGTTGGGTATGGTGGCTCATGTCTTTAATGTTGGCACTTGAGCAACTGAGGCTGGAACAACTTGAGTTTGAGGTCATCCTGGGATACATAGCTAGACCCTGTCCAAAGGAAAGGAAAAAATAAAAGAGAAAAAAGTAAAGAGGAAAAAGAAATAACCCAACAGTTCCAAAACAGTATCACCTCCAAGCCCAAACAAAAGCAGAAGTGAGTGAGTTCTGTCGCTGGTTCCTGGTGGCACTTGTCCTTGCTGGGAGGCTGTATGTGACTACATGACTG